AGGGGTCGGGGCAGATGTCCCAGGCTGGGACGGCCAGCGCCGGCGAGCACTGGGCGAGCGCCACGCAGAGGTCCTCGACCTGCGCAGCAGGCGGCGGCGCAGCCGCCGGGCAGCCCCGCGAAGCCGGGGTGGGCGCTAGGACGGGCCTCGCCGCCTCCAGCGCGGGCGGCGCGGGCGCCAGCGCCGCGAGCTCCCCAGCACCCGCCCAAGCCAGGCGGCGCAGGCGTTGAACGCGACGAGCGACACGCCGCGGGCCACAGGGCGCGTGCACGAGCCTCCGCGCGAGAGCCACCTGAGGCCCCCCACAGGAAAGGCTTGAGCCGTGGCGGTTGCAGGCAACCGCGCGGCCCTCAATCGCTCTACGAATACTGTTCAAGAACAACCCATCATCATCATCATCATCATCATCATCATCATCATCATCATCATCATCATCATCATCATCATCATCATCATCATCATCATCAACATCATCGTCGTCGTCGTCGTCATCATCATCATCATCATCATCATCATCATCATCATCATCATCATCATCATCATCATCATCATCATCATCATCATCATCATCATCATCATCATCATCATCATCATCATCATCATCATCATCATCATCATCATCATCATCAGCAGCATCATCATCATCATCATCAGCAGCAGCATCATCATCATCATCATCATCATCATCAGCATCATCATCATCATCATCATCATCATCAATCATCATCATCACATCATCATCATCATCATCATCATTCATAATCATTATCATCACATCATCAGCATCAACATCATCATCATCATCATCATCATCATCATCATCATCATCATCATCATCATCATCATCATGATCATCATCATCATCCTCATCAGCATCATCATACATCACATCATCGTCCTATCATCATCATCAGCATCTCATCATCACCATCACCATCAATCATCATCAGCATCATATCATCATCATCATCATCATCATCATCATCAGCATCAGCATTATCATCATCATCAGCATCATCATCAGCATCATCAGCATCATCAGCATCAGCATCATCATCAGCATCATCAGCATCATCAGCATCATCAGCATCATCAGCATCATCATCATCATCATCATCATCATCATCATCATCATCATCATCATCATCATCATCATCGGCAGCAGCAGCATTTCCTGTTGTACAGGCTGGAGAGGTCACGGCGACAGCCAGCTGTATAGCACGAGAACTTCTTGTACAACTCCTGAGGAAGTCAGCTGGCCAATGGCGAGGAGGGAGGAGGGGGTCCAGGGGAGGGGAGGTAGAGGAGGGGGGTAGAGGAGGGACCACAGGATGAGGAGGGATGAGGTCCTCGGAGGCCCTCCTCCTTCAACCGAAAACGAACACGCTGAGGTCCGCGACTCCGAAGAAGGGCAGGGGGCACCAAATCCTCTGCGAGAGTGTCAAGAGCTCACCTTTAGTCCTGCTCGCAACTGGCCCCCAGAGTAGACCTTGGCAGGCGCATGACAACCCTCTCAACCTCCTTCTCCTCCTCCTCCTCCTCCTCCTCCTCCTCCCCCATCCGTGGGAAGCCATGCGCACTGCGCAGTGTAGGGCCGCGCCGGCAGCCCACTCGGGCCAGGCTTGCTGGCTTTCACGCTCGACCGAGCCGTTTCGGCTTCGGCGGGTTGGTTCAGCGTCGTCTCCAGCTTCAGGGGCGTTTTCAGTCGTTCGGTATCGACTCGATCTGGATTCTGCCTCCTCCTCCTCCTCCTCGCTCCTCCTCCTCCCTCCTCCTCCTGCTCCCTCCTCCCTCCTCCCTCCTCCCTCCTCCTCCTCCTCCTCCTCCTCCTCCTCCTCCTCCTCCTCCTCCCTCCTCTCCTCCCTCTCCTCCTCCTCCTCTCCTCCTCCTCCTCCTCCCTCCTTCCTCCTCCTCCTCCTCCTCCTCCTCCTCCTCCTCCTCCTCCTCCTCCTCCTCCTCCTCCCTCTCCTCCTCCTCCTCCTCCATCCTCCCCCGCCTCCGCCTCCCGCCTCCTCCGGCCTCCGCCTCCGCCTCCGCCTCCGCTCCGCCTCCGCCTCCGCCTCCGCCTCCGCCTCCGCGTCCGCCTGCCCGCCTCCGCCCTCCGCCTCCGCCTTCCTCCCTCCCCTCCCTTCCTCCCTTCCTCCCTTCCTCCCTTCCTCCCTTCCTCCCTTCCTCCCTTCCTCCCTTCCTCCCTTCCTCCCTTCCTCCCTTCCTCCCTTCCTCCCTTCCTCCCTTCCTCCCTTCCTCCCTTCCTCCCTTCCTCCCTTCCTCCCTTCCTCCCTTCCTCCCTTCCTCCCTTCCTCCCTTCCTCCCTTCCTCCCTTCCTCCCTTCCTCCCTTCCTCCCTTCCTCCCTTCCTCCCTTCCTCCCTTCCTCCCTTCCTCCTCCTGCTCCCTGCTACTCCTCGACCTGCGCACGGCCGAGGCAAAAAAAAATCCCTGCGCCGCGCCGCAGCAGAACGGCGCCCGGCGTGCCGCCGAGACGCGGGCCGGCAGCGGCCGGAGACCCCTCGTGAGCCACGCGAAACAGGACGGAGGCCGAGAATGCTACGGCAGCTTCGTGTCGTGGCGACCTCGGCGTTGGCAGCTCCTGGGAGGCCTGGGCAAGAACGACGAAGGGCGACTCAACCTGGAGACCGCACGAACGACAAAGAACGACGAAGAACGCAGTGAGCCAGGTTAAGCAAAGTGGAGCCCGGGACTGGGCAGGCGTAGGCCAAACTGAGCGGCATGAGGCGGAAGGCAGCGGGAGCATGCCGGCTCAGGCTGGTCTTCGGCCACGGAGATGAAAGCGCCGATGCTGAGTTGAACCTCCCAGGAGTTGCATCCGAAGGTGGGGGGCGGCACGGGGGGCCGCGGAGGGGGCAAGCAGGAGATGGAGAGTCGAGCGGAGGGGGGGCGCAGAGGCCTGCCCACATGTCGCATGGACGGCCAGGTGGCCAGGTAGCCAGGAGTGATTAGGGAACAATCGGGAGCCGAAGAGGAAACTGACAAATCTGAAAAATAGCATTATATCGAGCATGTACCGCAAATGTGTACAGGGTATGGGTGCCCATATGTGCGTTGGCCTGCGCGGGCCCCCAACAATGCGTTTATAGAAATATACGGTATGCAGCTTCTACGTGGTGCTATATGTATATATACATACATACATAAATACATACACGTTGTGGGACACTCTACGTGGTGCTATATATGTATATATACATACACATGTATATATAACCATATAGACAACCATACAAACGGATATGCATATACACATGCGCTACCCATACATACAACTATACATATAACTATACATGTTCATGTGCATATTCATGTACACATGCATGTAGAATTATACATACATCTACATCATGCACCTATGCACATACGCAAACATATACATAAACATACTACTGAAACCCGTGCAAAACCTAAGGTTCTTAGAAGATTTCGGCTTGCGCGCGCGCGACAACGCGCCCGCGTCGACTGCGTCAAATATTTCGCAAGGGATTCTTGAAAACTGATCAGTTGTGATAAACGAGTGTGCGCGCATAGTATAATTTGCTAGGGCGGGGGGAGGGGCGATAAGGACTCTAGCTGCGATGGTATGGGTTCAGATTGAGCATGAACGATGGGCAAAATCATGCAACTCGTACTATCCCAGGGAGGGCCGATGAAGCAGGGGGGGAGATCCGAATCTCGTTTTAGAAAAGAGCATATATGGTATGCAACGTCTGTGGTACAGTATTTGCGGTGCAATCTGTGTGGTGCAATCTATGGTGTGCAGTTGAGCCTACATTGCACGAGGTCGCCGCCCCGTCGCCGCCGCGTCGCCGCCCCGTGGCCACCGACAGACAGGCCAAGACGAGGGGCGGCGACGAAGCGGCGAACAGGCGGCGACGAAGCGGCCACATGGCCGCCAGACTGGCCGTCAGGCCCAGACGACGGGCGGCGACGAGGCAGCGACGGGGTTGGAGGAATATGTTTACTTATTCATTTATGTTCATTATATATACATATATATATATATACATATATATGTGTATATATATGTATATCTCTCGCGAACAAGAGAGAAAGAGAGAGAGAGAGAAAGAAAAAAAGAAAGAAATAAAGAAAGAAAGACACCAAAACGTCTACTGTCAGGAACTCTTGCGCAGCGTGTCGCCACGGCGGCCCCGGCGACACCCTGTGCCTGACGAGCGGATAACCTGTCGCTCCACTCCGCGGGGCGGAGGGCCGGGAGAGACTAGGGGCGTTTTGGCGCTCGGGGGCCCAAGAAGTGGGCAGCGTGCCGAGCCGAAGCGTTGTGGGCCAGAGCCGGCGGAGCGACGCGCTATTGGGGGAACAAAAAATGATATAAACATAAAAACTCGGAGGTCAGCGCGGATTTCTCGGATCCGCGCTGGACCCCCCCCTGGCGGCGTCTCCGGCGCCGCCCCTGGCGCGCTCCGCGCGCCAGGGAGGGGGGTCCAGCGCGGATCCGAGAAATCCGCGCGGATCTCCGAGTTGTTATCTTTATGTAACGTTTTGTTCCCCTAGGTATGAGGACGTGTTCTCAATCGGCGATTCGAAATGGGGCGGTGGGGGGGGGTCTGGCTCCGGACCTCTGCCTGATGCGACTGTTTGCAACAGTGCGTCCTACGGGGGAGACTCCGCCTGCTTGAGACAGGCGCCAAAAACAGCCAAGATCTACTCCATGGGGGGGGAGGGGGCGCGAGGGCCCGAACCGATCGGCAAAACAATGAATAAGAGAACGATCACTATCCACAAAGTTCCCGACTGTAGAGGGAGAGGGGGAGAAAGAGAGAGAGAGAGAGAGCGAGAAAGGGCGAAATGGCGTCGAGTGGTGTAAGCGAAAGCAGGGCCTGGAGGCAGAGCAGTCGTAGACTGCTGGCCGCCATTCGAAATGCCACGCATCGGGAAGCAAAACGTGCGATATGGACCGTGAATCGTAACAAAGCTGCTCGCAAGATGGGGATACACTGAGAAGGCAGAGCATGAAAACAGGGGCGAAGGTTCCTCTTCCTTCTCGCCCTCCGCCTCGACCTGGAAAGCGCGCGCCGGGGAGGTGCAGGGCAGGGGTGGCCACTCGCTCAAGCACTGGGGGGCGGGTCGGCCACTCGTGCATTACGGCCGGATGTTAGAAGAATAATGAAAAATTGCCACACACACACACACACAATAAAACAAAAAACAAAAAAATAGGCAGAAAAGCGCGGCCAGACTATTGTTTACTATTCTTGAACATCACTCCTGCAGAGGGACATGCCCGACTTAAACCTAGAACAAAAGACCATCCTTCAGGTCGGGGATCTTCTGACCCGGGTCAATCCAGACCCGGTCAGCAGGATACCAAGAACTGCAATGCAGGAACAAAAACTGCAACGCAGGTCTTCGCAAACCCGGGTCAGCCAATATGCGCGGCCGCCTCGCAGCAACGAGCGGCTCGCTAACCCGGGTCAGCCAGGGGGGGTCTTCGCAGGATCCTGCAGGATCTGGTGCCCTGGCTGACCCCCGTTTGCATTGAGCCCCGCCTCTCGAGCCCCGATCAGGAACACGAGACCCTCTGCCGGCCAGAACACACAGCACACTCGAGGGCATCCCCCCCGCATGCACGAGAGCAGCCGACCAGCTCTTTGGACGCCCGAAATGGGCACGGACAAAAATGGGTACAATGCCCAACAGCAAATGTTGTCCCGAACCAAGAGCGGCCGCTGTTGGGCAGGCGGCCTTCTGCCTCGAATGGACACAGGCCGCGGCGGCGCGGATAGCGAGCCCTGCTCAAAATGAACAAGATCCGCTGTCGGGCACTGTGTCCATTCTTTCCGTGCCCATGTCGTTCGTGCAGAGAGAGCAGCCGACCAGCTCAGAGGACACCAGCGTGCCCTCCCCGAGCCGACCTCGACCTCGGCAACTCGGCCCGACCGCACCCAGCTCTCGCGGCGCTCCGCCCGCTCCAGCCCCTCGCGGCACTGCCTAGAGCGCCCCTCCTCTGACAGGGGCCCTGGGACACACACACACACACACACACACACACACACAAACAGACACAAATAACAGGATCCTCCATATTTCCCCATGTGTTCTGGGTTTTCGTCTTCCCCCCCAATCCCCATATGTTCTTATATTTTCCAGGGAATCGACGATTAATTGCGTCTGTGTTTTTTTCCCCTCCTGACTTCTCCCAGGCCTCCGACCCACCCGATGCCTTTGGAGCCGCCGGACCCTGGAACTCTCGACCGAGCCGAGGCCAGGAAGAGGATGCAAACCGTATCGGGCGCCGTGGCCTTCTCAGAGCGTTCCGAAACGCTCTGAGAGCGTTCCACAGCGCTCAGGATCGGGCGTGTCCTCGTCCTGGCCCCGCCCGATCGACCTCTCTCTCTCGGGACTGGTGTCTCTCCTGCGTCGTTGTTTGACGGCTCCGAGGACAGGTGACGGCATCTGGGCGCCGAAGACTGCGAAGTCACTCTGGCACGATTATTGCTCGAATTACCATGCGGTCAGGCCCACCTCCTCAAAACCGATCCCCGGACATCCTCTCCATGGGTGCACCTTGACGAGACTGCCGAAGGGCAACTGGCCGTGACGACAAGAGGGCCCCAGGCCGACCAACAGTCTTAACCCTCTCTAGATCCTTGAAAAGGTCCTCCTCATCCTCATGCTCATCCTCCTCGGGCTCTCTGACAAGCTTCCTGTGGCAGGCGAGCTCCAAGCCTGCACTCAGCCTCGGGCGAGCTTCCTTCACCCCTTCCCTCCCCGCCCCGAATGACCCTCCCTCTCCCTCCACCCTCCTCCCCGCTCCCTCCTCCGCCGTCTCCCTCCCCATAGAGCCCTCCTGGATGGGGTCTGAGTAGATGGGGTCGGAGGATCTCGCCGCATCGCCGACATATCGGCGATGCATCGCCGATGCATCGGGGATACATCGGCGATGCATTGGCGACGTTGGTGTTGCATCGGCGACGTCGGCGTGGAGAAAACCAGGCTCCACCTCGAGCCGCACCGCCGAGGCATCGGCGATGCGGCGCGACCCTCCGACCCCCTCCGCTCGGACCCCCCCTGGGAGGCCTGGACTCCCCGGAGCCCTTCTGGATGCTCCTCACGGCCGCCTGGGACCCTCCTGGGACCTCCCCGGCTCCAGTCATGCCTGGCCCCTCAGGGACCCTCCGGGCCGCTCCTTCGTCCTGCGGCGGACGGCCGGCCAGCCCGCGCCACGCATGGCGCAGATCAGCAGCGGGGCAGAACAGCGGCGAGACGCGGATCAGGGGGCGGGGAGCCGAGGAGAGGCGATGAGGAGAGGAGGAGGAGGAGGAGGAGGAGGAGGAGGCAGCCCTGCGCGACCCCAAAGCTCTGGGGACCCGAAACAACGAGGGGCCCGACCATCCTCGTGCAGCGTCTGAGCCGAGATCCTGCGCTCGGCGAGGTGGAGGCCCTCGTGGGCCTTCTGAGTCAAATCTGTCAGGTCCAAGGCGAGGAGCAGGAGGCGGAAGACTCGCCACCGCTCGGACGTCCATTTCTCGTGTATTTTTCGATTTCGTGCGTGTTTTTTTGTCGCCAAATGATCAAGGATGGTCCTCGATGGCCGTCGCCGAGAAAAAATGCACACGTCCGAGCGATACCAAGAAGAGGGGCTGGACGGGGGATGATGCCACGAGGCAAACCAGGGAGGCGAGGAAGGGATGGGCCCCCCGGACGAGCTACGGCCCCTATCAGCGGGCGGCGCCTTCTTCTGCATCGACTGCAGCATCGAGACCACCTTCGAGCCGGGTGCGCCGTCGGCGCACACCGCATCGCGCGGAGGGGAAGCTCTGCCAGACTTCACCGCCGTCGAGGGTCGTCGATCGTGCATCGTCGTCGATGTCGCACGTCCTCCCTGCAACGACGCCGGAGGTCAGACTGTGACGTCTGCGTGATGCTCTCTCGGGTGACCCTTGCGACTGAGCCAAGGGATCTCGCATGGACCGCATCACAAGGATTTGATCACAGAATGGCCAGAAAATCGTCGCCGAGCATCTGGAGCGGTCGCCCATGGGCCTCCTCCTCCTCCTCCCTATCCAAGACCTCTTTCTCCTCGTCCCCCTCCTCCTCCTCCTCCTCCTCCTCCACCTCGTCCTCCTCTTCCTCATCCTCCTCCTCATCCTCCTCATCCTCGTCCTCCTCCTCCTCCTCCTCCTCCTCCTCCTCCTCCTCCTCCTCCTCCTCCTCCCCCTCCTTCTCCTCCTTCATATCGTCCTCCTCCTCCTCCTTCTCCATTCCTTCTCCTGATGATTAATTGTTCCCTGTCGCACCCTGATGCCAGTTCTTGAAGCAGGCCGGGAGTTTCGCCTGAGACTTCCTCGCCACTCATGATTCCGAAGCTTCAAAATTGACAACAGCTTCACAAATGGAAGGCGGGTGGTTTTCGAAATGTGGCTCTCGCCCCAGCGCCGCACAAAATCGCCTTCAAAACTTGCAAGTGCTTCACGGATTGAGGGTGGGTCGTTTTCAAAATGTGGCTCTCGCCTTAGCGTCGCTCACGCTTATCTCAAAAAAATGCAAGAGCTTCAAAGATCTAGGGCGAGCCGTTTTCGAAATGTGGCTCGCGCCTTAGCGCCGCGCACACTGGTCTTAAAAAGTTGCAAAAGAGCTTCACGGATTGAGGGCGGCTCCTTTTCAACATGTGGTTTTCGCTTCAATGCCGCGCACACTCGTCTTAGAACATATAATAGTGTCACGGATTCCCATGATCAACGTACCGGAAACTGCGCGTTGGAAGGATTCCGGCTTATGGGGTGCACAAGATATGTTGACCCGCGGCGCTCAAGTCCCAGGAATTGCGTTTTGGCAAGATCCAGGATCGTCAAGGCGCAACACTCAGGTTGATCCGTGGCGTTGGAATCCCGAGAACAATGTTTTGGCATGCTTCAGGGTCTTCAACCAGTTGTCTTCCAATGAGGCAGTTATCTCATTACAAATGAACCGTTCTAGGGGCCTATGAAAAGGGAGCTTGGAGGGGGAGTTTATTCCAACATCGTCGATGCAGTTTGGGTTTACACTGGTCCTCCTCCTCCTCCTCCTCCTCCTCCTCCTGCTCTTCCTCCTCCTCCTCCTCCTCCTCCTCCTCCTCCTCCTCCTCCTCCTCCTCCTCCTCGTCATCATCCTCATCATTTTCGTTCCTCCTCTGCTCCTGATCCTCCTCCTCCTTTTACCCCTCCTCCCTCTCGACCCACCAAAAGTGTGGGGAGGGCGGGCTGGATGTGTCTTTTGCCTGAATACTCATAATCCCTGCAAGGTGTCCCGTTTATGTCTCATGGTCACTGGGATTCGCCGGTGGCAAGGGAGAGAAAGGATAACGCCGTCAAGCATGCAATAGGGTAACCCTGAAGGGAGGAGGCCGGCCCGCTGGCCGACGCACGCGCGCGCGCGCCGCAGGCTCGCTCCTCTTCTGTTTCCCCAGAGCCAAACAGCTACAGGTAAAACATCCAAGTCAAGAAGAGAAGCAGACACTGCAAGCAAGGCTAGAGAGCAGGACGGGCAGCAGGATGGTGGTGCGGAAGGAGTGCAGTGACTGGGTGTTTCAACTGAGCCTTCCTCGCGGTACACATGTACAGAAGTTGATAGCTGTATGTCTATGTATCTCGGTCAACAATTAACTGACCGCTTTGCGCGCGAGCATGCGCGCTAGCGCGGCCGCGGCGACGCGCCATGCAGCACCGAGCAGTCATCGCAATCGCCGCCCGCATGCGTTTTGCAAACCAAGTTGCGGGCGGGTGGGTGGGATGATTGCGCTAGCAAGTTCGGCACGGTGGGTTGCACAACATAGCTTGCAGCCTATAGATTCTCTCTTCCCAAAAAGCCCGGACCACATAATTCCCGGCGCTGCCGGGCGCCCTCGGGCGCTGCCAGGATTTCTTGCGTGGGCCTCCAGGACGGTCCCGTCGCCCAAGAGGGCCCCAACCAAAACGGGCCAATAAAGGCTCAGGAGGCCGCCCAGGCAGTCCAAGAGCGCCCAGAATCGCCGAAATCGCCACAAGACGCCCAAGAAGGCCCCCAAGCAGACCAAGAGACCTCCGAAACGCCCCAAGAGGAATTCAATTGGCGTCCCAAGAGGGCCCCAGGAGACCAAAATCATCGTGTTTCCATCGGTTTCTGAAGGGTTTGGGTGTTCTCGTCGTTTTGGTTTCCCGACGCTCCCAGACTGCCAAGATCGCCCCAAGAGGCCTCCAAGGGGGCTCAAAAAAAACCCGACAGACACCCAAGAAAGCCAGGATGGAGGCGCCCAAACGGCCCAAGAGGCGCCCAGGAGGCCCCAAAAAACGGCCCCAGAAAGGCGACACTGATGGAGGACCCGAACGGACATTTCGAGTCCTCGGCCCCGAGGAGCCCCCAGGAGGCCCCAAAAAAGCCCCCGAGAAACCTAAGAGACCCCAAGAGGCCCCCGAGAGGCTCCAAGAGGCCCTCCACAGGCCCCCAAGAGGCCCCCAAGAGGCCCAAAAACTGTCCACAACAGGCCCTCCGAGACCGCTCCGAGAACACTCCAAGAAGCATCCCTGAGAACCCGCACCCACAACCCAAGCACGGTGGCGGGATGAGCCGAGGGCCACTAGACATTTCCCTCAATTTTTTATATAAGAAACAAACAACTCGATTCCGAATTACCGACACCCCCGTGGGAGAATACCATGTACAAATGATTATGCCCCGTCGCTTTGTCCTTTTAAGTATGAACGCATACCATCCCAACCAGGCCGTTATCGCCCCCCCGTCCCTGTCAAACCCTACGTCGTGCGCGCATTCCTTTGGCAAACATGATCGGTCACCGAGAACCCCTTGACGTACAAACCAAAAAAACTAAAAGTGCGAAAACATGCACACGCGCGCGGCGTCGCGCGCGCATGCCGAAAGCATTCATAAACCCGGGGGGGCCAGGATTTCAAGATCGAGATCCCCGAAAACATGTGCGCAAATAACGAAAATCCAAGAACAACATGCGCGCGCCCTTGCGATGGTTGATACAAAAATGTGATCAAATTGGTTTTCCAAGATTGCCACCACATGCAAGCAAGCGGACCCCTGCGCGCTATCGAAATCATTCGAACGCCCTTGCGCGCTTGCTGGGGGAGGGTCACGATGCCTGTCAAATAGTTCCATGCGGGCCGCTCGCGCGCGTCGGCCGCGCGCGCATGTCGAAACGTTGTCCCCAAAAACTTTCATCATCGACACGTGGACACCATCATCGTCATCGGCGTGACCAGCATCGGCGCCACCATTGGCCTTGCCGACGGCATCGTCATCATCGTCACGATCACCGCTACAATCATCATCAACATCATCATCACCATCATCAACATCATCATCGTCAGCATCATCATCATCATCGAATCCGCCGCTGCCGACGTCACCATGATACTGCGCTGGCCAGAGCCACTGACTCGCACGTAAGTGCCCGCGCGCCATTGTGACCTGTAAGACGCGCTGGGAAATCCCAGAACGCCACATCGGCCGCGTCGGCTGCGCCAAACCAGCTGGCCGGTGTGCGCGCGGGCCGCGCCAGCGCGGTCGCAGGGATGCACCAGCTAGCGCCAAGCACCCACCGCAATCGTCGCCGCATGAGTTTTGCAAACCAAGTTGCGGGCAGGTGGGTGGGAGGACTGCACGGGCAGTGGAGCTGACAACTCAAACTTCTTCCAAACTACTTACACCGCATAGGTTGCTTACGATAGACTGTGTCACAAAGATTGCACAGCCTAGCTTACACCACATAGATTGCACCACATCCATTCTCCTGTCTAAAAGGAGAATCGACTATACCACCTTCCCGTTCCAGGGCTTACCACTACCCCCTGGAATAGCACAACTTACATGCGATTATGCCCGATCGTTCATTTTGCATATGACTGCCTATCACCCCAGGGAGTCCAGTCACCCCCCCCATCCATGCCAAAGGAATCTATGCGCGCACACCCCCTTATCCAAAAATCGTGTTGGCGGCCCCGTGCCCCAAAAAAATGTACCGGAGAAAAACCCCAATCAGGGCTACAGGGCTAGGGGGCTATAGGGCTATGAGGCTATTGAGCTATAGGGCTATAGAGCTATAGGGCTATAGAGTTGTAGGGCTACAGGGCTATTGGGCTATTGGGCTATAGGGCAAGATAAGGCTTAGGGCTATAGGGCTATAGGGCTACAGGGCACCCCCGGGCACCCCAGGGCACCCCCGGGCACCCCCGGGCCCGGGCACCTGGGCACCCGGGCGTGCAGCGAAAATCGACGACAAACCTAACCTAACCATATGAATCTGCGAGGACCCCTACAGAGGCAAGCTCTGATGGGGGAAAATCCACGCGCGCGTCGTCGCGCGCGCATGCCGAAATCCGTCCAAACCCGTAGGTTCCGAAAGGAATTCAAGATCGAGATTCCCGAAAGCCTATGAAACCCAATGGTGTTTCAACAACTGTTTTCGGAAAGACACGCGCCCTCTTGCGAACGAGTTGGGAAACTATAAGTTGTTCAACGGCCACGCGGGCCTCCCGCGCGCGCAAGTCGAAATCATTCGAACGCCCTTGCGCGCTTGCGGGAGAGGCACCATCCCTGACAAATACTACGACGCGTGCCACTCGCGCGAGCCCAAGCCAGGAAGGCGCATGCACCGACCCCAGGCCCAGGATCGGCCTGGCCAGGCTGTGTGCAGGTGTCTAGTCGGTGCCCTCCGACATACCGTCGTCTGTGCCGTCCTCTGCTCTCGAGCGACCTCCTGCGGGCTTCAGCTCGCCGCGGTGC